GTACAATTTCTATCATAAAACTCAAAACAACAAAAAGGAGCGGAGTTTACAAAAACGAATTTTGTTGGTGCACTAATGATACAAGTCACTTTTCTTCCCCCAAATTAAGGTGGCTTGTACCAGTTTTCCTCTCTTTTGACGGTTTTAAGGATTGGGCAAAAAAGCAAGCCAAAGCCAAAGCAGCACTTTTGTAGAGTTTGATTATACAATAATGCTTGGGTTAAAACAACTGTTTTGGGGGCATTAGAAGTTACCATGGCAACGTATCTTGAGGATTATTTAGACCTACATTTTTAGCTTCCAGCACTGATAACTAGATACTGATTAAACCGTTGTCCACTACCCGGTTTTTCATTTTTTTTCTCTGACGTTTCCTTACAACTCTTTCAAAACATTAAAGCAAAAAAAACAGGGGTCATCGGAGTTGTTTTCTGGTACAATGCTTCGTAATTTCACACCACGTGCGTTTTCGTTCTTGTAAAATCTGAACTCTATAAGGACAAGGTTTACTCATGCGCTGTTCTGACTACCGCTGTTGTGTATTCTATTGCGGGCATCTACTGATTTTGCTTACAGTCTTTGCAGAGGAGAAACAATTACGTGCGCGTCCAATTTACGCGTTGCATGTATTGTCTTTCTCGTTAAGTAAAACGTTTGGCTGACTTAAAATGCCGCCTTCTGGACTCACTTTTCAACATCAAGAGACAAAGCGAACTGGCATAAAACAAAACCATAGAGGATAATGTGTAGTTAATCATTTTAGTATTTTAGTTTATTGTTTTTGTAGTTGTGCTTTGAGTCATTGCTCTTCCGATCCCTGTCAAGATCGACCGCAGTCCACAAGCAAGTATTCCCTTAAAAACCTACTCATAAAGCGTAGGAATTATTGTTTTCTTGAAAATATGAAGTTTAATAAGCATTTTACAGTGTATATAGAGTCAAAAAACGCGAATTCGATTTAGAACAGGCGAAACAAAAGTAACCTTACCTAAAAGTAAACTGTTGTTTATCTCACGCGTATATATTCGAGTGGGATACGCGCGCGCGATTGATTCCGTACGCTAGAAAACTAATACGATCCACCTTAATTTATGGGGACTTCCAAGATTGGAACAAACGATTTTGCGAATTAATCCAGCAAAATTGGTTATTAAATTAATTTTGCAATGGAAATGTTCCAGGTGGGTACGAATGTGATCCGTGCGCTGAAGATATTGAAGTTCTTATTAGCAAAGATCGAGCCGCTGGCTTCCAGACTCTGACAAACAAATCGGACGAACTAAAAAAGTGGAAAAGGACCTGGTACCGATTTACTGGTGAGGCTGGAGACAAGATGGCTACTGCGTGAGTACTTTCTCAGTTTGTTATATGAAGTCTCATTCATAGCGACCTACAGTAGATACTCGTTTTCCCTGTATATTGTAATTCAGAACTGAAACTACGAGGGCGTAGCCACCTGTACGCTGTGTATGCACGTGCGTACCTGATAAAGTCGAAGGCAAAAAATAAAACTTAATTAATATAATAAAAACGATAGCGTGAAAGAAAAGCAAAGAATTTTACAGCTTACTTGCGCTATTTCAAAGTCAGTACTGAAAAAAGTCCTGACTTACGGCATAACTCCTCTTGATTTGCGACTTTAAGGGGGCCGGATGAAGCGGCAGGGAGATTTTGAAAATTGTGCGAACCTCTGGAAAAATTCCCTCTCAACCGCGGCTGAAACGTTTCGGGACACGTTCTATCTTCCGTAGTTTTCGTGTGGGATCTGTTAATAAACAAAGAATTGGGCGTTATTGGCAATTAACTGACTCCAAACAGCCAATGAAATTCTGAGAATTTGGCATAATACACTGGGTTTGATTTAACACAATAGAGAAGAGAAGTATGACGTCACGTTACCATGGTTGCAAAATTTCTGGATCACAACAATAGACCTCTTTAGCTTGTACGTTTTGTTTTCCCTGGGACCTTCATTAGGAAAAAAAAACATACAAGCTAAAGAGTTCTATAAGGACCTTAAGGAACGACGACGGCAACGGCAACAAGAACGGCAAAAAAAGAAATAGGTTTAGATTGGCAGAACAACAACTTTGCACGTGCATCACACCTTTTCTTAGCCTTCGTTGCACAACTGCGACATGAATATTCTTAATTTCACGCGCCCTCTTTGTGGAGGTAGGTGAGAACACAACAAAATTTTTTTTTTTAAATTTCTTTTTCTAAACTTAGATATGGTCCTTTCGGATTCAACCCCAGAAAATTTCCCAAACATCTGACAAATTAAATGAAACTAATAAGGTCGATGAAGTTTGAAACAATGCGAATCAGTCACTTTATGTTTGCGGTTTGTTTCTTGTCCAGAAATTTGCTACCATGGAAGCTTGAAGTAACGACTTTTCCTCTCTATTTAACGCAATTCTAATAGTTTAACTCTTTAAATGGAAATTGGACCTTTTCCTTTAGTGATTCAAATGGAACGGACTGCATAACTTCTCCTTCTTGCGGTGCTAAGTTTCCCGGTTATCTTGACGGTGATCATCCGGCTGATTTGAAAGTTGGAGAAAGTGTGAAGAGAACCGTGTGCTTCTCAGATGATCGGGATTGCTGCGTGAGGAGGCAGGAAATAGAGATACTGAAATGCAAAGACTTCTTTATTTACAAGTTGCCGAAAGTTCCCTTCAGAAGAGCAAGGTATTGTGGGAACAAAGGTAAGATGCCGGGAAATTTCTGAATTAACTTATTCAAATCAAAGGATCGGAAACGAATATGTCGCAGAAAGTAGGATCTATAGTGACCTGATCAGCAAAAATAACAAGTAGACATATTAAATTCTGCAAGCAGAATACTGCAATGCTGATCGTACCACGTGAAAATGAACTTTGTAAGACATCAACACGACACCGAAACAGATCTATTGCTACAGTCCCGCTCTGTTTTCACGGGCACCCAATTGACCTGTTCCTCTTAATATATGTTCTTCAGGCAATTTTTTGCTGGCTGGGATATTTGGAAAAAATAATATGATCGTGGAAGGAAAGTGAAAGTGTTACTGAGAAATAGACAATTCAGGGTGTCTGAGGAAATTTGGTTCTTTGGTGTCTCAAATAGCTGGTATGTGCTATTTGTCACTGACGGGCTGAATTTTTCCCTATGACCATACCCAAACTGGCCAGTAATGTCTAGACATACGATTGCTGGGAAAACGTCCCAGTAAGTCAGGTTACAGGTTGTAGGCGCACCTTGCTGGCTGGGAACTCTTCCATCAGTCTAGCTGGGAGTGAGGAACAGATAAATCATTTTCCCAGCAATCTCCCAAAAAGTTTAAAATGGTTTCAGAAAGCTTTATTCATGTTTTGCTGTTGTTTTTAGGTCTTTTTCTCAAATTTCTCGTTGGGTGCCCCTGTGTTTTGGGTTCTTTTGGTGTCGTGTTGAAGGCTTGCATAGTTAATTTTCACATAGTACGATCTTCATTGCAGTATTTTGTTTGCAGAGCTTAATAGGTCTCTTCAAATAGTAGTTAATTATAATAATTTTCTTTATGTTTAAGGTCAAAAGGAACCTGAAAAGTGCGACGAAAAGGAACTTCTGTTTGGTGAGACATAGATTAAAAAAAATAAAAAAATAATAAAAGAATTTTTGCGCATTTTCGAACACAGCACTTATTAAATACATCATGTAGTGTTGACTTTTTGGCTGTCCCTCGAAACGATCCGAAGAAATTCACACTCATTCCCGTGAGGTAAAGCGCCTAATAAGCGTGATCCAGTAAGCCAATGAGAAAGCTAGAAATGTATTTTTCAAAATAACCCTCTATTGCAAATGGAAGTAAGAAACCTACCGACGCAGAGCTCAGTTCTAGACTTTACACCTTTGATCATATGCTTAAGGCTTATCTCCCGAATTGTATGCTAATTTGTAGGACTGTCCAAGAAATACGCTGCCAAATCATGTAAGGACATTCAAGAGAAACGTCAAGACGCCCCGTCTGGTGTATACTGGATTCAACCCGATGGTGATAACCCGGTCCAGGTTTACTGCGACCAGGAAACAGACGGTGGAGGCTGGACACTAGTGTACAGCTACACCTTCACAAACTTTAAGTAAGACACTTTGATTCCAAAATTATTAAATGCAGAGAACCACTGGCTCTGTTGAATGTTTTATATATCGTGTTTTTACGCTAAATTATTTTTGTTCAAGCAAAATTTAAAAAGGATCAGTTAAAAAATGATAAAGGTAGGATAAAGCAAATGCCGCGTTCTGATTGGGTATTGGGGTAGCCGGGGGTAATTACTTATGTGGCCTTATATGGCCTCAACAGTTATGTAACCAGGAACACATACGTGAATAACATTTCAATAAGGTAATTAGACCTCACAAATTATGTTTTTTGTTTGCGCTTGAATGCATCGGCTTCAATAACATTCGGCTCACGTGGGTATATTCATCGCTCCCTTGTCAACATTCAGCGATCTGACCAATCAGTTCATGATACCAGAATCTGAATCCAAGCTCCCCCGGCTTTTTTTCTCCCCCAGTCCACTCTGCTTCCGCCCCCATTACTTGGGAGACTTTTCTTCAATGCTCTCCCTCCCCAACTTCCCAGGCTATGAGTCCAGCCGTTTTAATTTCACGTTTGGTCAGTAACAATAATAATAATAATAATAATAATAATAATACACTTTATTTAAAGAGGGTAGCACGGAATAGTTACAGAAACTAGTAAACTTGTGGCCCTCTATCTAAATTAAAATTACAAAAAGCATAAGATTCAGAATATACAAAGTCTAAGTACAAAATGAATAAAACTAAGGAAATATAAAAGTTCTACCTCAATATGAATGAGTATAAAAGCTAATGATACGCCTAGTGAAATACATACAAGAATATGATTAAACTATGAAATTGTGTAATTCCTGCTGCTCTTTAAATAAGATATTTCGATAATTATTCTAGTGATACTGCATTTCTAAGGTCTAGACTTAAGCTGTTCCAGAGTTGGCAAGTAGGAACTGCGAACGACCTACCGCCTTCGGTGACCCGATTAAATTTTGGGCAAATAAAATTTATATTGCTATATCTAATTACACGACTATGTTGCTGACTGTTGAGTCTTAAGGAGTCTTCAATATATAAGGGAACTTCACCCTTGATGCGTTTATATGCCACACAACATTTAGCTATTTTCACTTCTTCATAAAAAGGAAGCCACTGTAGACTATTAAAAAGCTTAACACTAGACGCCTGGTTATTAGCGTTGGAAATTACCCTTGCTGCTCTCTCTTGTAGCTTAAAAACACGGCTTAAATTCTCCCTATCACAACTAGTCCAGATTGAACTGACATAACGCAATAAAGATCTTATGATAGTATTATAATACAATAGCCTTTGTTTCGTGGGCAGGCAAGATCTTATCTTTTTTAATACGCCAATTCGCTGAGACAGCTTTTTAACATATGTTAAGGTTTATGTTGACGATGTTGATAACTGTTTTTCCTCAGGTCTTTCATGTCCGGCTCCAACGCGGTCACGCCACGCCCAAACTGGCCAATCAACCCGATTTACGGAAACGTAATCATCTCTACCACCCCTCCAGTGAGCGAAACAGACTACAATGCCATGAACTTCAGCTACTGGAAAAACGTGGGTCGCGAGTTCATGATCAAGTCTAACATTAACCATTGGATCTCTTGCAAGTAAGAATTCTCCACTTCAGAAACTGTAGGGAGAATGGGTACAAGCTTTGTGTGCAGTGATTTCTGGGAAGGACAAGTGTTAGTTATGATTGGTCGATAATATTCGAAGAAATCTTTAACCAAGCATAAGAAATGCTTGTCCACCCAGACAATCCCAGAAATCTTTACGCCGATTCCCCTTATAGTCTTTGGAATGGAAAATTTGCGTTGGTTCTGCGAAATAATCTTATTATCTATTGTTCGTTTGTTTAACTGGTTTATTTTTTTTTTACGTTGTACAATCAGTAAATTGTTTGCAGCACTAATTTTAAGAAAGCATTGAGTCACTTTGGAAAACAAAAATTTAAGTTGATTACCTCAAATGAAAGTTTATGCATTAAAATAAATTTTCTACCGACCAATCCCTTGAGAGCTTGATGCCGTGAAGGTGACGCAGTAGAGTAGGTTAACAAACAAAAGGCTCTGGTTTATGAGCTTGGACTAGTGTATGTACTATTCTTCGGCACTGGACGAAAAAAATGGATTTGCACAAATTTGCTCCTTGCAAATATGTTGCAAATACTGAGGAGTAAATATAGGGTGTAAATAACTAGGCAAATGTGGCATTTACCATGTTTGCCATATATTTCAGTATTTATATATTTGCGACATGTGCAAGGAGCAAATTTGTGCAAATCCATTTTTTCGTCCCGGCAGGTTTTCTTTAAAAAGTTCCGTCGGGGACTATTGTCTCTGCATTGTCTCTTGAATGAGAGAGAACAGTGTCGTTTTCAAGACAATGTCGTCTTTTTCATTATCCTTTAAGGTGTTTCGATACCGTTTTTCAGAGGCCATACCGATATTTTTCAATCGTCTTAAAAGTGGTTTTTCCCTTGTCTGATCGCTATAAAATTGTCACTAGTAATTGGCTATGGATTGAAATTTGTGAAAATGTAGTTTTAAGTCAAATCGATATTACTATGACAACAATAATAAAAAAACTTTGAAACTGATAAAAGCCGAATTTTGTGTGATCTAGACCAGCTACTGAAAATCCAACCCTAGAAACTTAAAGTCTGGTGTTTAGCAAACAATCTCTGTAACAAGTAAAAAATTCTGTATGTTTGAATTCGACTAAAACGAAAATATATTTCAAACCTCAAATTTTTTAATAGTTGTGATAGATTATTTAATAAAAACGTTATAAATGACTCAAATTATTCTTAAGTAGCGTCAGAATGCTGCTTAATATCATATTTTGATGCTAGGAAATTTTGGTGTATTATCGTTCTTGCGATCTTGAAAACTTAACTAACCCGTTTTCTCAGCACCCGTATAAGTGCAACTTCATTCAAAATTTGGACTTTTAGCGCTTTTTTGTACATCTCTGGAACGACTCCAACGAATTTTTTAATCTCTTCACATAATCTTCTTAATGTATATAATAAGGTCTGAAACTTTCATTCCCTATTTTCCAATTCCCCATAATACACTCTGTTTGCCCCCCAAATTTTGCATAAACTATTGTTTTTAAATTCTCCTGGGAGTATTGCATTTTCCCAAGGGCATTTTAAGACAATAACTTATGCAAAATTTGGGGGGCAGACAGAGTGTATTATGGGGAATTGGAAAATAGTCAATTGAGAATGATTCACTGCAACATCTTAAAATTTCAAGACAAACCTATCCTACGAACCTGTCAAAAATCTACGTTACAACATACACTGTTTTCACGTTATGCTAATTTTCCCAAAATAATGCGCACTATGCATACCTCCATGACTAGTACAGTACCTTTTAGTTTGAATTTATCGCATCTTTTGAATGTAAAACATTGACAATACTCACACGGAAATGTACCAGTCATGGATATATGTATTGTCCGCATTAATTTGGAAAAATTAGCATAACGTCAAAACAGTGAATGTTATAGCACGGATTTATGACCGGTTCGTAGGATAGGTTTGTCTTGAAATTTCAAGGTGTTGCAGTAAATCAAAATATCGCTGATTACTTCTATTTTTACCTTACAGGGAACAAGGTGGAAGTCTGGTGGAGTTTAAAGGTGGTAATATCCAGTGTCGAAACATAACGAACGTTGCGTCCAAATGCCAGAACTATGTACCGGACAAAATTCAGTTTGTGACGGCTGGAAACCCACCTGGCTCCGGCCTGGGTCCGGATCTGTATCGGTCTCAGAGTTCTACTTCGCAGAAGGAATATTACTACTTTGAAGGAAGTACGAAGACCGTTAATTGGCCTACCCATGATCCTTGTGGTACCAACAGCGATAAAAACCATCTCACCAACGTGGCTAACCCCCACGGAAACATTTACATCCGGGAGTAATGTTTTGTACATGTATCACGGGAATGGCATATCCCGGGTGGTTGGGGTGGGGGGGGGGGGGGGGGGGGGCCCAACAAAAGTTTTTTAAGGGGGGGTTTTTTCCCAAGGCCCGCCCCTTATTCTTTTTTACAACCGCCATTACCGGGGACCCAATGCATATTTCTTTTTTTTACAAATGGGACCCCTTTTACCACCCCTTTTTATAAATTTTCATCCCCTTTT